GGGGGGGGGGGGATTGCGGGCGCACGCGTTGCCGTCTCCCCCACTCCCGGGATAGGAGGGTCCTGACCACGGGGGAGGGGGCCGACGCAGACCTACTCCTCCCCCCTGTAAGTCAGTCAGGACTCATGTTACAGGGGGCGGGTGACCGGATGGCGAACCGGTCGCGTCCCTTCTCAAGAGAAAACGGGCTGCGCGGCATGGGGTCCCGCGCCGCGCGGTTATGCGACGAAAATGGCCGGAGGGCGTATACCCCCCCTCCCACCGCACCTCCTCGTGGGGGGGGGGTGTCGCCGTTCCTGGCGGCATCTATCCTCCGGTTCGGGAAAGGATGACGTAAGCCTCTGGCGGCTGAGGGCGTCCCGGAAGGATGCGAAAAAGCTTCCCGGGGCGTCCTTGTCATGGCCGCCGAGGAAAGGACCCGGCAGGGGTTTTAATAGTTAGGCTCCCCCCCCCCGGCCGTTAGTTCTGGGGGGGAGAGTCCCACACTACCTCCCGGGGGGTTGTTCGTAATGCATTTCCCTTGCCTTACAAAAAAAAAAAAAAGATAGAAACAGAGATTTATTTTCATAATAAACCGTTAGTAGCTGTTGCCCAAATATTCTGCGTTCTTTTGTGCGTTAAGTCCATGCTTGTGAAGTTTAATGTAAATCATTTCTGAAATCAGGCGTTTCAAGTAAAAACGTTTTTCATGTAAAACTTTAGCATGATCCCAATTGAAATCATGGTTTTTCTTCATACGGTGTTCCTGTATGGCCGTCAACTCCACTGTAGAACTCATTGGTATTCTCCTATATTTAGTAATACGCGTGGAGAGTCTTCTATTAGTTTGATCAACATACGAAGCCTCACAACTACTGCATTGCAATTTATAGACAACGTTATTATGGAAATGCTTGTATATATAAATCTGTTATTATCTGTATTACCTAGACTTGGCGATGTTACCGTTGACAGAATCGTTTCACTTTTAGCTGAGCCTACAATTTAACAAAGGTATTTTATATTGACTGTTTTAATTATTTATTATATTTTAATCTTACTTATTTTTATTTTATTTTATGATTTTTTTATAGTTATGACGGCTACTTCGTAATATTAATTTGAACTTCTTATTATTCCGGTAACGGTCTTGTCAGCTTTAATATTGCGAATAACATTTATGTCAATTTACTCAGGTCTTTAATTAATACTTTTGCTTTGTAATGCGTTCGTTTTGTAAACCTTGAGCTTTTATTTATCACTGAAGAGGGTTCATGATTGAGCAGAAACGTTTGATTATTTATATTGAGTATTCAAGAATTCTTTTCACTGAACTGAACTTTTAAAAATTTCTTTTGCATCTAAAAATAAACTCAGAATTGTGATATACGACTGAATTATTTTTGAATTATTTTTGAGTTCTCTGTGCTATCTAGGTTAACATTTGCGCATAGCATATGCGATTCATATGTACTAAATTTAACTAACAAATTTTTTTAGCACAAATAATTTTCATTTAGGTTGATTATTATCCAATCTTATGTTTGGCCAGCATATAGAAATGGCAGTTGCTCGTACGAATAAAACTCTGGGATTTATTCATATTAATTTATTTTAATTATTTACCGTTCGGGGTTAACATCAAAACATGTCGGTTGGCACCGAAACATTTGGAGTCGGTATTTCGGTATATATATATATATATATATATATATATATATATATATATATATATATATTTATACATAGATATATATATACAGGGTGTTCGGAAAGTACCGGGACGCCCGAATATCAGGAAAAATATAAGTTTTACAAAAAAATGTTTCAGACAAAAGTTGTGGCGTTTAAAAAGATGTATTTACTGATCACATCAGTTTGACCTTGGGTTGCGTAGCGAAGGTCAGGTCAAGGTCACATTAATTTTTTTAAATGGAACACCCCATTTT